ACCCAGCGCCTCCTGCGACGCCAGGCTGACCAGGAGCGGGGTGTCGCAGTCCTCCATCTCCGTGCTGAAGATCACCCCGCGGCGGCCGCCAAGGGCGACCGGGATCTCGACCACGCGCCCCTCCTGCCTCTTGCCGAAGGCCGAGGAGAAGCTCCTCACGCGGTCCGTCATCTTGATCTCGAGGCCGCGGGGATGCAGGCACCTCTTCTCGAACAGCTCCCGCCAGTGTTTGCCGTGCATACATCTTGTGCAACCGGTATCGATGAGCGCCACTGGTACGTCAGACGTGTCACTGTCTTCACTCACCATAAGCACCATCTCCAAAAATCCTTCCCCGGGTACTGGGCGCACGTGGCGCCCGCAAGGGGCCCCTCTGGGCCCCGGTGTGGAGTGTGCTCAGGCCGAAGACGGCGGTGGCCGCGCCTCGCGCAGCCTCTGCTCGCCCTCGTTGTAGTTCAGCGTGCCCTTGCAGTCCGGAAACTGACTGCATCCGAAGAACCAGCCGCCTGTCCGATGATTCTGGCGAGCCACCAGAGCCTTGGAGCACTTCGGGCACGGCAGCACCTCGTCGTCCTTCATCGTCTGGAGGATCGTGCTGAGGCTGTCGCTGACCACGCTCGCACTGTCGCCGACATCGCTGCCCACGAGCTTGAAGGAGCCGAGGTCGGAGCCGCGGTCCGAGCTGACGAGGAAGGCCGAGTCGTACTCGACGTCGTCCAGCACGAAAAGGGTCGCGTCCCTCCGCTTCTTGGCACTGGTGCTGCTCGATGGGCGGGGACTGCTGCCCGAAGCCGAGGGGCTGCTCCATGCCGGGCGCGAAAGCGCCGCTGCTCGTCCACGTGGATCCGCTCGACTCTTCGGCTTCGCCGACGGCCTCGGCCCCCTCGGACCCATAGGGCACTCCGGGTCCCCGGCCCAGTGACCGAGCTTGCCGCACGCCCCGCAGTGCGTGCGCTGCTTGTCCTTCGCAATCTCCGCCTTGCGCTCCTCGAAGGTCAACGTGCCCTCCGCCTTGAAGAAGCCACGCTTCCGCTGGAGGTCTCGAACCTTGGCCCGAGCAGTGTCGTAGGCGGCGTACGCGTTGTTGATCGCCTCGTCCTGACTCGCGCCAGCGTCGCTGGCGATGTCCTCCTCGGCGTCACCGTCCTCGTAGGCCTCGTAGGCCTCGTCGTCGTAGTCCTCGTCCTGCTCGTCCTCCTCGTTGTCCACGTCGTCCGCCTCGGTGTAGTACACCCTCGTCTGCTTCTTGGACTTGTCCTTGCCGCCCTTGCCTCCGCCCTTCGAGCGTCCATGAGGATGGGGCTGTGGCGGCCGGGAGGTCTTCTCCTGCAGGTGGAGGTCGTGGTAGTTCGTCTTCAGTGTGTTCTCGAAGGCCTTTGTCTCATACTTATTGTCCGCCACCATCGTGACCAGTCTCTTCTGGTCGTCCGTCAGCATAGCCCCCTCAAGGAGGAAGTCCGCGTAGAGATCGTCGCTGAGCTTCGTCCCCTCGTCCAGCTCTGTCAGCTCCTTGTACTTGTTGTGGAACGTCCTCAGGTACTCGACGATCTCCTGGCCACGGCGACGGCGGGACCTCTTGAAGAAATCGTCGAGCTTCTGCTGCTTACGCACCACCGCTACCTTGTCCAGGCCATCGAGAGCCTCGATGATCTCCTGATGCGAGCCGTCCTGGGTGAGCGCCGTAATGTTGTCCAGCAGGGGCTCCACCGCCTTCCACGCGCGGCCTGTGAGGCCCCGCGTCAGGCGCAAGCCCAGGTTCGCCCGCTTCTCCTTGCCAGCCTCCGTCGAGCTCGACTGTGTGCTGTACTCTATCATCACCCTCATTCGATATTCTCGTAGAAGAGCTATGTTCTCACCGTCCCAGTGCGGGATGCCCTCCTTGTCGACAAAGAGCTCCTCTGCGGACTCGTCTGTCATACGGGCCATTCTCTCCGCCGTAGATCGAAAACCTGCTCCGCGACCAGTTTGAAACCGATCTCGCTCCTCTGTGATGCCAGGCTGGGCGCAGCACCTTTTTCTCGAAGCCGAGAAGCGCCCAAGTCGGCGCCGATCCCCGGGCGCAGGCCGCCCGGCACAGCTGAAACCTGGGGCCCCAGGCTTGGGCCCACAGTGGTTGCGGGAGCACGGGAGAGGGGCAGAGGGAGAGCAAAGAGGAAAAGGGATAGGCGGGTTGAGGCGAGCCTGGAAATCTTCACAAGTGGGTACAGTGGGGACAGTGGGGCAGTGGTGGGGACCGTGGGGAGAGTGGGACCGTGGTGGGACAATGGTGGTGTGAGTGAGGACATTGACGTACTGGTGGGGGCACTGGTGGGGACAGCGGGGACAATGGTGGGAATAGTGGGGACAGTGGGACAGTGGTGGGGACGGTGATGGTGGGGACTGGTCTGGGGACAGTGGGAACGTGGTGGAAACAGTGGGTCAGTGGAGGGTACTGTGGTAGTGGGGACAGTGGTGAGGGCGGTGGCCAGGACGGCGGTGGGACAGCGGTGGGAGCAGTGGGGACACTGGTGGGAACAGTGGGACAGCTCAGTGGGACAGCGGGGGAGAGAGCGGGACAGGGGGGACAGTGGGGATAGTCGGGCAGTTGTTGGGGCCGTGGAGTGTGGGGAGAGTGGGACCGTGGTGGGAACAGAAGTGGGGACAGTGGGGACAGTGCGACAGTGGTGGGGGCACTGGTGGGGACAGTAGGGACGGTGGTGGAACCAGTGGGGACAGTGGTGGTGAGGACAGTGGCGCTGGGAACAGCAGTGGGGGATGTGGTGCGCAAGGTGGTAGGGACCGGGAGTCGTTTGCTGGCAGTGAGGGGGGGGAGAGGGGTTCGAACCAGCAGTGACCCCCCCCGGTTTTCGAGGAGGCAGGGGGGGGGTTCGAACTGGTAGTGACCCCCCCCGGTTTGCGAGTGGGGAAATTTCCCGAGGGGGGAGGGGGTGGTTCGAACCGGTAGTGACCCCCCCTGATTTGGGTTCGAACCGGTAGTGACCTTCCTTTGGTTTTTTTGGGGGGGGAGGGGGGATCGAGGGGTTCGAATCGGTAGTGACCCCCTTGGGTTTTCAGAAGGGGGGGGGTTCGAACCGGTAGTGACCCCCCCCGGTTTTCGAAGGGGAGGAGGGGGGGTTTGAACCGGTAGTGGCCCCCCCCGGGTTTTCAAAGGGGCGGGGGTTCGAACCGGTAGTGACTTTCCTTTGGTTTTCTGGGGGGGGGGGAGGGTCAAACTGGAAGTGACCCCCCCTCGGTTTTCCGAGGGGGAAGGGGGGGGGATCCGAACCGGTAGTGACCCCCCCCGGCTTTCGACGGCTTTCGAGGGGGAGGGGAGGGGGGGTGAGGGGAGAGGGGGTTTTGCTGGGGGGAGGGGGGAGGTCCAGCAGGGGGGGGGGGGGGTCGGAGGGGGGGTCCCCCGGGTTCCGGAAGAAGAGGGGGGGAATTTTCCAGAGTAAAGCGGCGGTGGATCACGATTTCTCCCATCTCTAGATCTCTGTTGATCGCCGCCAACTCCTCTTGCGCTTTTTGGAGCTGGGCCTCGGCGACCTCGCGGGCTGCACGCTTCTCATCCAGACTCTTGCGAGGCGCGCCTGGGCCCTTCTCGTTCTTGCTGATGGCGTTGGCCTCATTGTGCAGCTTAGCCGAGCGCGGAAGCGTGGACGCCTTGCGCTCCGCAGCTTCCCGCTCCGCCGCCGCGAGCTCGCTGCGCTTGGCCTCAAGCTGGCTGGCCACCACGTCAGTGATGCAGCTGTCCACGCCGTCAGGCGGCTCCGCCTTGAGCGCCTCGAGCTGCTCGACCTCGGCCTGGAGCGTCGCGATCGCGGTGGACCCACCGCCGCTGGAAGAAGGACCGCTGGCCGCCGACGCTTGCGATGCCGAGTGGCCCTGGCCGCCGCGCCGTGCGCCTGCCGCTGGGCACGGCGCCCACGCGGCTGGGCCACCCAGCCGTCGTTGTCGGGCCTGGGCTTCGGCGGCTGTGCGGCGCTCGTCTGCTCGCTGCCGCCTTCGGCCCAGGGCGGCGCAGCCTTCCCGCAGGCGAGGCAGGTGCGGCGCCAGCCCCAGTTCCAGCCGCCGCAGCCGCACACCCAGCACAGCTTGCTGCCGCCGCCGCCGCCACCGCGCGAGGGACGTGCCACTGCACCTGCTGCGCAGAGCGGGTGCTGCCGCAGCGCCGCAGCGCCGCAGCGCCACCTGCAGAGGCCAAAGTCGAAATTTCCAACATACGCTCGGCCCAAAGCGAAGAGCCCCTCGCGCCCAGAGCGCCGCGGACGATTTTCGCGGTCGTCGGGTTGGTGTTCCATGGCCTTGAACCAAACTGGCTACGGAGGTCAGCTGTGCTGTTCTGAAGCCGACAGCGAAGAGTTGTTGAGACCTCGGGACCGCGAGGCGCATTGCCTTGAATACGTCATGCTCACCCTCGCACGTATCTAATGTCTTGGACGCACTGCCGTTTGGCACCGCCCACCCTGTTGGTGTGGAGGGTGCCGCCACTAGGTGGGCTCTGCATAGGGCTCCACGAGCAGCACCAGCTGTTGCCGATGGACCCACATGCATCTGCGATTGTGTGCGCACTACTCGCGACTTCAGAGATCACGCACTCAGAGCAGTCCGCCGAGCGAAAACAGTGAAAGCATAACATCGCGTCGGGTACCTATGCTAGCACAAGGTTGCATTAGGAATGCGTGAACTGGAACTGGCGCGTCCAGGGGCCAGCAGATGGGAAGTACGCAGACGCCCTCACGAAAGTACAAAAAAGCCATCAGGGAAGTCTTGTGTATAAGGCAGGTTCGCTCGGTGGTGACGCGCGGTGGCAGCCCCAGCGCGGGCGTTCAAGGTCTGACGCCCCTCGTGGCCTCGAATCGGCCGAGATCGAGCGATCTGCGTTGTCAGGAAGCCGCGATTGTTCAGGATTGAACGATCCACCCGGTGTCAGCAACCAACGCCGACGCCATCGCGACACGAATTTGGTCGTATTGTTTTCGCGTCCTCCTTGATCCCCCCTCAGCCGATGCTCGCCCGAGGTTCGCACGGGCTTACGCCTTGCAGCGCCATGGCTTCGGCCGCGGCCAAGGGCAACCAGCTTGCCGGAGCGGGCGAGCCTCCTGCGTCGGAGCCAAGGCCCCAGCCGGAGGACCCCGCAGCCCAGCGCCCGGTATTGTCCGAGGTGGAAGATCGAGGAGGAGGAGAGGCCGAGGTCCGAGGATTGAAGATCAAGCCGTCTGAATGATCCTCGGCATGTTTTGGGCCCCTGTAGGCTCACAAGCCAACGGAGAGTTCCAGACACGCATGTGTCATGTACGTGTGTATATATATACATATATACACATGTAGATGTATATATGTATATAGATGTATATGTATGTGCGTGTATGTGCGTGTATGTGTGTGTGTGTCTGTGTGTTCCATCAAAGGGAAAGCAGAGGGACAGAAAGAGCAGGGGGGGAGGGAGAGGGGATCGAGCGGAACAGGGAGGGAGGGCGAGAGAAGCGCATTGGAGAGGGGAGGGACGGAGAAAGGGACGGTGACGGAAAAACGCAGGTCTGCACAGTCTTCGGGTTCGTTGGGAGCTTTTGTGCATCCTGGGGGAGGGTACCTCTAGAAGTTCTGTGTGGTTTGGCTGGCGGAGGGTCTCATGTTCTTGAAGGATGTTATTCCTGTCCTAGGCCCGATTGGGGCAAGTGACCGCAGGGAAAGTGTACCAAGGGCGATGTTACAACGGTGGTTGCACCTTCTCTGTGCTACTCCCTGTGCATGTGGCATACACAGCCGTGACACGAGTTTCTTCAATTTGCGATGACAAAGATGTCTTCCATCTCTCTTTCGTAATCCCAACATCATGATGACGTCGTCATTCGGCGGAGTAGTTTCCGATCCGCCTAACGCATGTAGCTCTGTTACCCCAGAACATGATCAGAAACTACTCCGCGCCGCACCCCCAAAAGTTTCGAGAAGGATGCGCCCGCGCGGAGTAGTTGGAGCATTTTCCTACGAACTGCTCCGTTCTGCTGGGCTATAGGCGAAAGCAGACTGAAAGAATCGTTGGTCACGGCGATGTATGTGCACGTGCGGGCGTCAGCGAAAGTTTCGGCCGATGTCCAGCATGCTCAGGATGCCGGGGCTGGCTTTTCGGAGGAACGCGCGCCGGGCTTGGTCAGATCTCGTGCCCCAGAGTCCCAGAAGGACCAGTCACACTCGATTTCTCCCTCTCTCTCTGTATCTCGCCGCTTGGAGCGCAGTCGACGTCGATCATACGTTCCCGCCCGCGTGTACGCAGGTTGGGGTTGTTAGATGTCAAGGTTCCCAGCCCGCCTGGACCGCCCTGGATAATTACGGCTGCCGCTGGGCTTAAGGCGGGCATCTCTTTCTACAGCAGGAATATCCAAGAAAAGTAAGAATAGTCTGGTGGCGATGTTTCGTCCTCTGTTGATTATGTTTGAATATTGTTTGACAGCCTCTTTCTTCCAGAATCCGCCTGTAGGAGGACCTATCGCGAGGCCTGAAGACTGCGGGTGATCCCTAGGTTTCCCGTCTCGCCCGTCCTACATACCACTTCCGCCAGGCCCCAAGACTCGGAGTGGTTTCTGAATGCCGGCTGCCGCAATAGCATACCGCGACTGCCGGCCCTCATGTTCCAGGTGAGTTTGCTGCTGATGATGATGATGACGATGATGATGATGGTGATGACGACGATGATGATGGTGATGCTGATGATGGTGATGAGGCTGATGATGGTGATGCTGATGATGATGACGACGATGATGATTATGATGCTGCTGATGATGATGGTGCGAGGATGATGATGATGATGATGATGATGCTAATGCTGATGATGATGATGATGGTGACGACAATGATGATCATGATGATGATGATGATGATGATGATGATGATGATGATGATCATGATGATGATGATGCTGATGATGATGATTATGATGATGATGATGCTGATGCTGCTGCTGCTGATGATGATGATGATCGTGATGATCATGCTGATCATGATGAGGATGCTGATGCTGATGATGGTGATGATGATGATGATGATGATGCTGATGATGATGATGATGATGATGATGATGATGATGATGATGATGATGATGATGATGAGGAGGAGGAGGAGGAGGAGGAGGAGGAGGTGGAGGAGGATGGTGATGGTTGTTGTGGTCGTGGTGGTGGTAGTGGTGGTGGTTGTGGTGAGAAGCAGGAGGAGGAGGAGGAGGAGGAGGAGGAGGAGGAGGAGGAGCAAGTTCGTTGGGATATGGTGGAAGCCCTCTCAGGGGCTTGTTGGAGGCAGTGTCGGAGCCTCTTGGGGGCCGCCTGTCGGCCTGGTGGAGGCCTCTCGGGGGCCTCTAGGGGCTCCTTGGAGGCCTCTTGGGGTCTCCTGAGGGCCTCTTCGGGCGGAAGGCTGGAATTGTCCGCTCGTGTTCCCCCTTTGGGGGGCCATCTTGGAGCTCTCTTTGGGCTGACTTGGGCGTCTCTTGGGCCGTTTTGAGGCTCTCTTGGGCCGTCTGGGGACCCTCTTTGGGGCCCCTTTGGCCGTCTTGGGGCTGTCTGGGGGGCACCTGGGGCCGTCTTGGAGCGTCGGAAGCTCGAGAAGGCGATAACGTGAACAACATCGAAAACACAATGAAAATCCATAATTTTTGCTTCTTTGGGCCCTCCTGGGTAACCTCTTGGAGTGCTCTAGGGGCTTTTGGGGAGGCCTCCCAGGTCCGTCTTGGAAGCCATCTTGGGCACATTGGACGCCTGGGAGAGGAGCGCCGGGGCCGTCTCTGGGCGCCGACAGAGCCTCGGGAAGAGGGAGCGATGCACGCAGCGAGGCGCTTCCCGAGGAGGGGGGGGGGGCCCTCAGAAGATTACAGAAACCCTGCCAGGCAGCACGTGGCATTCTATCACGCCTCAACGTGCCAGGGGGCACGGTGGCGGAGTGAGGAGAACGGGGGTACTCTGTGTCCCTCAATAGTTCTGGGGGTACCTGTAGTCCGGGGGGGGGGTGTACCTAAGTCCGGGGGGGGTACCTGTAGGGGGGTACCTGTAGTCCGGGGGGGGGGGTACTTGTAGTCCGGGGGGGGTACCTGTAGTCCGGGGGGGGGGCGCCACCTGTAGTCTTGTAGTTCGGGGGCTAGGGGGGTACCTGTAGTCCGGGGGGGGGTATCTGTAGTCCGGGGGGGGGTACCTGTAGTCCGGGGGGGGGTACCTGTAGTCCGGGGAGGGGTACCTGTAGTCCGGGGGGGGGTACCTGTAGTCCGGGGGAGGGGTACTTGTAGTCCAGGGGGTACCTGTAGTCCGGGGCCCCAAAACTATTGAGGGACACAGAGTAATAGTGAGCAGGAGGAGGAGGAGGAGGGGGAGGAGGAGGAGGAGGAGGAGGAGGAGGAGGAGGAGGAGGAGGAGGAGGGGGGGATAGTTGGGGTATAATCCAAGGAGGGGGGACAACAGTACCAGTGGCAGTCGTCGTGCTCGCGTCACGGTGGCATCTTCATAATGAAAACAGTTGCAGAAGGAGGGCGAGGAGAGAAAGAACATGAAGGACAGTTGGAGGAATACTGCGAGGAACGCGAAGCCGGGCAGGAGATGAGGAGCCGAGCCAAACCTTGGGAGCCCGTGCCAGCAGCAACCTCGAGCCCTCTGCGAGCGACGTCCCGCGCCGGGGGGGCCAAGGCACTCAGTCAGAGCCCCGAATCATCAGGGGTAACTCGGGTCAGGGCTTATTCGGTTCGTTTTTCGGAAATCTAAACCCGAGTTACCCTGGACACGAGTTACCCTGGATAATTCGGGCGTCCAGAGCCCCGAATCATCAGGGGTAACTCGGATCAGGGCTAATTTGGGTTCGTTTTTCGGGAATCCGAACCCGAGTTACCCCGGACCCGAGTTACCCCGGATAACTCGGACGTCCAGAGCCCCAAATCATCAGGGGTAGCTCGGGTCAGGGCTAACTCGGGTTCGTTTTTCGGGAATCCGAACCCGCGTTACCCCGGACCCGAGTTACCCCGGATGACCCGGGTGCCCACTTCAGAAACAGGATTTGGGTGACCTTCAAGGGCGTGACGTCGGTCGAGTCGAGTCGCCTTGTTGGCGGGACGCGCGGAGAGGAGGAGGCGACGACGACGACGACGACGACGACGACGACGACGACGACGACGGGGACGACGACGGCGATGGCGACGGCGACGACGACGACGACGACGACGACGACGGCGACGACGACGACGACGACGACGACGACGGCGACCATGACGGCGACGACGACGACGACGATGACGAGGACGACGTTTGCGCCGTCGCCCGCGCGGCAGGAGAGCCCCCGGCGCGGCCTGGCGCGCGCGGTCTCGCCCGCGCGCTCGGCGTCGCCGAGCAGGGGCTTCCCGGGCTCCCTGCAGGCGCGGCCCGCGGGCGACGCGAGGGAAGGCGACCGCGCGGAGGGCCTCCGCTCTCCTCTCCGGCCCTCTCCCCCCCCTTCTCGTATATCCTCCCCTCTTCGTCAGTCCCATCCTCCTGGTCCTCCTCTTTCCTCGGCTCTCCTCCTCCTCCTCCTCCTCCTCCTTCTCCTCCTCCTTCTCCTCCTCCTTCCTCCCTCCTCCTCCCTGCTGCTCCTCCTCCTTCTCCTCCTCCTCCTCCTCCTCCTCCCTCTCCTCCTCCTCCTCCTCCTCCTCCTCCTCCTCCTCCTCCTCCTCTCCTACTCCTACTCCTATCCTTATTCCTTATTAGAATATACTCCTACTCCCCCCTCAGGCCGGCCATTAGGGGCCGCATCCGGGGGGTCCCATCCTAACCTGTAAAAAACAATACAAAATCAACATTTTTCTTATTTTTTCCTCTCGACATGGACGTCCTGTCGTCCACGGCGATAATCCATTGCAAAAAATACCACAAAGAGCACACGCGCGCGTTCATGTCAGAATCCTACCGAACACCGTGTGTTTGCAAGCATTTCAACATAAAAACATCAAAAACCCAATGCTTTTTCACAAAAAATTGTACAAATTTCCCGCCCGGGCTCTCTTGCTGAAATCATAGGAAAACCATAGGAATCTTAAGAATTCGGTCAAATCCAGCGATTTCACGTCATCGCGCGGTGCACTCGCGATGCTCTGTCATGCACCCAGGCCGCGAATCCTGTGCAAAAAATACCACAAAGAGCACACTCGCGCGTTCATGTCAGAATCCTACCGAACACCGTGTGTTTGCAAGCATTTCAACATAAAAACATCAAAAACCCAATGCTTTTTCACAAAAATGCTTTGGGGTGTCCTGTCAGACCGTCGGGCTTCCTCCGGCCACCTCTGGCTTCCTGCGGTGTACCGGGCCATTCTCGACTCGTCTGGCAATGCGTGCGCGGCATTCAACACGCGCTCGCCAGTTCCCGTCGGCAACCGCCATCGCGGCCGCATCAGCTGTACCAAACCGGCTGGCCGGTGTGACTTCGGCCCCCAGTTGTGCCAGCTTTGCTTCTTATGTTGTGGGAGGGCGGGTGGGACTGGGCATGCCATGCTTGACTCGCTCGAGCTGGCTAGCTTGACTCCTACTCCTACTCCTACTCCTACTCCTACTCCTACTCCTACTCCTACTCCTACTCCTACTCCTCCGCCGCGCCCGTGCCTGCCGTGCTCGGCCAGGCGGAGCCGGACTCCCCCCTCGTACCTTCAACTCCTTCTCCTCCTCCGTCCTCCTCCGTCCTCCTCTGCTCCTCCGTCCTCCTCTGCTCCTCCTCCTCCTCCTCCTCCTCCTCCTCCTCCTCCTCCTCCTCCTCCTCCTTCTCCTCCTTCTACTTCTCCTCCGCCGCGCCCGTGCCTGACGTGCTCGGCCAGGCGGAGACGGACTCCCCCCTCGTACCTTCGGCTCCTTCTCATCCTCATCTTCCGTCCTCCCCCTCCTCCCCCTCCTCTTCTTCCCCCTCCTCCTCCCTCCCCTCTCCCCCTCCTCCTCCCTCCTCCTCCTCCTCCTCCTCCTCCTCCTCCTCCTCCTCCTCCTCCTCCTCCTCCCCTCCCCCCCCGTCCTCCTCCTCAGCCTTCTCCTCCTCTTCCTCCTCCGCTGCGCCCGTGCCTGCCGTGCTCGGCCAGGCGGAGCCGGACTCCCCCTTGTACCTTCGGCTCCTTCTCGTCCTCCTCTTCCTCCTCCTCCTCCTCCCCCTCCTCCTTCTCCTCCTCCTCCTTCTCCTCCTCCTCCTCCTCCTCCTCCTCCTCCTCTTCCCCCTCCTCCTTCTTGGCGCAAAACCTTGGCGCAATCAATTATTTGGGTCTTCCCGTCGAGGCCTCTTGGGGCGTCTTGGGTGCCTCTAAGGGGATTTTTTGGGGTCTCTTTGGGGCCTTTTGGCAGCATCTTGGCGGCATCTTGGGGGCCTCTTGGGGCCTCCCGGGCACCTCTTAGGGCCGTCTTGGGGCGAATTTTGGGGCCATATTGGAGGAGATCGATCACAGGAGGGGCTGTAGTACAGTGGGGACGCCCCCCCAGGAGGCCGAACTTTGACCAACATCTGGGTGTACTCAATGATTTGCGTTTTCTCGCCGAGTCCTCTTGGGGCGGCTTGGGTCCCTCTGGGGAGCCTCTTTGGGGAGTCTTGGGCTTTTTGTTGGGACGCCTCTTGGGGGCGTCTTGGGGGCCTTGGGCACCTCTTGGGGCCATCTTGGGGTACCTTGAGAGCCTTGGGGGCCATGCCTTGGGCCATCTTGGCGAAGATCGATCAATGGAGGGGAGCTCCCCAATTAGGTGCCCCCCAGGATGCCAAAGTGCGCCAAAACCTGAGTGAGATCAGCGATTTTGGTCTCCTCGCCGAGGCCATCTTGGACGCACCAACGACTGGCGAAACGCCCCCTCCAGACCCAGGGGTGGGGGATAGGGGGAGGGTTCGAAGCACCCTCCCCGCCTGCAAGCTGTCCCGCTCACTCCCACCCGCCCTCCCAACGCACAAGTAGCACCCGAGCCTCAGCATGCGCAGCGGTAGCCTATGGATGGACAGCTATTGGGGATAAGTGCAGACCCCATATGCGCGGCGCTGGGGCGAGGTGCGCCACGCGTGCCAGGCGCTCCAGGTGCGCCAGGCACAACTGGGGCCAGAGCGTGCCAGGCACGCCTCGTGCGCCAGATGCTCCACGTGCCCCACGTGCGCCATGCATGGTCCAGTCCCGCCAGGTGCGCCACTTCCGGGACACGCGCAGAGTATGCCAGGCGCGCCCGCGCACGTGACAGCTCGGACCCCACCATCCTTGTCGAGAACCAGTGCGCAATCGCGGCGGGGAGGCCATCATTGTGTCTGGCAGGCCTGCGCACAGCAGGCAACATGCCAGCACCCCCGCGGCCCTTGTCAAACACCCATGGACATTGATCGTGGGGCTGCCGCGCATGATCCATGTTTGGCCGCGAAGTGCATGTTACATTGTTTGTGGCAGGGATGATGGCCTTGCGCCCTGCGTAAAACAATCAGCATGAGGGCACCTGCGAAGGGCCCAACCATACGCGATTGTGGGTACTGCGTCATGAGCACAGCTTTCGGTGGATCTCCCTACGGCGCCACGAAGCGTGTGAGGGGACTGCCGAGATGGGGCACGGCCGCCATACGAACCCTGTCGCTGGGTCTTTCGGCGGGACTTCCCATGGGGCCACGAAGCGTGTGAGAGGTGTGCCGAAACCGGGCGGAGCCGCCAAGGGAAGCTTGCCACTGCGCCTTCGGTGGAGCTCACTATCGGGCCACGAAACGTGCGAGGGGTGTGCCGAAATGGGGCGGGGCCGCTATGCGAACCCTGCCAGTGGGACCTTCTGCGGGCGAGGGTTGTGCCGAAGTGGAGGGGGGCGGCATGCGAACCCTGCCACTCGGGCCTTCGGTGGAGCTCCCTATGAAGCTACGAAGCATGCGAGGGATGCGCCGAAATGGGGCGGGGCCGCCATGCGAACCCTACCACTGAGATCCTCTGCGGGACTCCCTACGGGGCCACGAACCGTGTGAGGGGTGAGCCGAAACGGGGCTTGGGCGCCATGCGAACCCTGCCACTGGCACCTTCGGTGGAGCTCCTTGTGTGGCCACGAAACGTGCGAGGGGTGAGCCGAACTGGGGCGGGGCCGCCATGCGAACCCTGCCATCGGGGCTTTCTGCGAGGCTCCCTATGGGGCCACGAAACGTCTGGGGGGTGGGGGGGGGGTGGGGGGCGAAGTTGGGCGGAGCCGCCACGCGAACCCTGCTACTGGGGCCTTCGGTGGAGCTCCCTTTGGGGCCACGGCACGTGTGAGGGGTGTGCCTAAACTGGGCGGGGCCGCTGTGCGAACCCTGCCCGTCGGACCTTCGGTGGAGCTCCCATGGGGCCACGAAACGTGCGAGGGGTGTGCCGAAATGGGGCTGGGCCCACCCTGCGAACCCTGTCACTGGAACCTTTGGTGGAAACGTGTTAGAGGTGTGCCGACATGGAGCTGGGGCCCGTCATGCGAACCCTCCCACTGGGGCCTTTGGCGGAGCTTCCTATGTGGCCATGAACCGTGTGAGGGGTGTGCCGAAATGAGGCGGGGCCGCGATCCGAACCCTTCTGCCACTTGGGCCTTCGTGGAGCTCCATCTGGGGCCGCGAACCGGGTGAGGGGTGTGCTGATGTTGATGGCGGTGATGTGGTTGTTATGGTTGTGGTTGTTGTTGATGTTGTTGATGTTGGCGATGATGATGGTGATGGTGATGGTGATGGTGGTGGTGATGGTGTTGTTGCTGATGATGATCATGATGATGATGCTGATGCTGGTGATGGTGAGGATGATGGGGGTGATGGTGATAGTGATGGAAGTGGCGATGGTGATGACGATTGCGATGATGATGCGATGTTGATGGTGATGATGATGAGATGTTGATGGCGATGATGTTGGGGATGATGATGATGATGATGATGATGATGATGATGATGATGATGATGATGATGATGATGATGATGATGATGATGGTGATGGTGATGGTGATGGTGATGATGATGATGATGATGATGACGATGATGATGATGATGATGATGATGATGATGTTGATGGTGATGATGGTGGTGGTGTTGATGATGGTGACGGTGATGGTGGTACAGTTGATGAAGCTGATAAACTTGGTGCTGGTGATGATGGTGATGCTGATGCTGCTGTTGATGATGGTGAGGATAATGCTGATGACGATGCTGATGCTGATGATGTTGATGACACTGAGTAGCATGATGATGATGCCAATGGTTAGGGTGATGCTGATGACGATGATGATGACGATACTGATGATGATGATGATGATGATGATGATGATGATGATGATGATGATGATGCTGATGGCATGATAACGCTAATGATGATGGCGGTGGTGCTGGTGGTGGCGATGATGATGAAGTTGATGCAGCTGATGATGATACTGATGGTGATGCTGATGATGATGGTGTTGG